ACAGCAACCCAGTGTAGGGTTTAGGAAGGGGGCATGCAAAGAGTAAATCGCGATGAACATGGTGTCACTTCACGCAACCAGGTGCTTCATGAGCTGCAGATTGTTGAGCGCTGACTTGCTCACATCCCGGTACAGTTGCTACTTGTGAATGCTCTTCCTCTCACTGGTTCTTAGTCTGGAAGAAAGCAATATGGGGAGTATGTAGTGATCATATTCCCATTTTCCCTATTAAGAACCAGTAAGTCCTTCTGTTGGTATGCCTGGCTGGGGAGCTGCCCCTAGCACAGAAAAGCATGAGACTCCACGGGCTCCATTCCTCCTATGCAGGAGAGCAAGGCACCACTACCAAAATCCAAAGTCTATTATGTACCTGAACCCCGGGACAACAGCATCGTGAAGATGCGGAAGGAATCCAAAAAGGGATCCACCATGACACATTCCCAAAATCAGCTAAGCTCTTCCCACTCCCATCGAAACCTAGGACAGTTCATGTGCACAAAGTCTTCTATTCGGTATCCAGTGGCCAGGGGGAGGTTGTGAGGCTCGAACTCCTCGGGGTTGGTGAAGCGGCCTTTCCGCGGTCCCAGCACCTGGATCACGCAAAGAAGGGCGCCTTGAAATTGAGGCACCCTGTGGGTGCTTTGGGGTATACAGAGATTGTTACTGGATTATAGGAGTGTATTTTACAAGCCGGAGAAAGTATAAAGGATTCTTCTCACTGTTTGTGCAAATGAAATCCCAAACTCTAAACCTTCCCTTTTGTTCTCTCAATCCAGGAGCAATTGTTCCGGCAAGTCCAGAGACTCCTCCTGTCAAGTGCACGATGCCACTTCCTTACCAGCTTTACGGTCAGGGCTTTGGGGGTAGTGTTGATGAAAATATCCTGCTGGACCTTAGTAGGCTGCAGCACTATAATTCCCAAAATCTATAGTACTTAGGCTCATGCAGGATTTTCGGTATCCCCGTAGTTCCTACAAATGGTAAGCCTCAATATAAGCATTTTATGGGGCCCTACAAGGGGACCCTAAATTTTGGAAAACCAAAATCGAGGGTCTCGGGCCTAGAGTTTGGGGTTACACGTTCCGCCGCCATGAACACATAGGGTTTAGGGTAAGCTTTGCCTTCGAACTCTCGTAATCTTTTCCTGCAAACGTCTAACTTCATTTTTTATGCGCTTCCTCAGTACTGAGCCGAAACCCCAAGATCTCACTCCATACCATTAATCCTATGTTTCTACATATACAGAGACATCTAAGACGAGTTTCCGGCAAAATCCATGACGCCAACGTCGAGGATGTCGCCGAGGAATCCCGAGCCACTCCACGTCCAATGCACAATCACCGGGTAGATCAGGCCTTGATATTAACAATAATAGAAATAATAACAATAATAATAAAAATAGCGATAGTAGTAATAGTGGTAATAATAATACTAATAAATCACTGGGTAGATCAGGCCTTGATCATTTGAACTATAATCTAAACTCTTAGTATCCCCCTTAATAAGCCCTATAATATTCCCCTACATAATCCTCTATGTAACCCCTGTAAGGACTTCAGACTATGCCTCATTTGAGCTAAAGTCCAAACTCCTTGAAGGGGAGTATATAGGAGAGTATTTCTGGATGTTATTGAGGGGGATACTAAGAGTTTAGACTACAGCTCATCTAGGGCTTAGGGCATTGTTAAGGGCTTGGGATCATTTACTAGTAGTTCAGACAGTAGACACAACAATAGTATTGAGGAAGAAAGGAAGTTGTAATGAAAACGAGTAGATGGTTTACGGTTCAGGCCAGGGTTATGGGACCCGTTCCCTCCGGTCATGCTGTCAAACTGCTCTGTTCAACAAGCCTGGAGCAAGATTACCTAGCCAGGTTTCAGGGATCCTTCCAGACAGGGTTATCCTCGGGCACTGCAGGCGCAGAGATACTCAAGGGATCATGTAGATGCCGCTAGGATGGTATGGACTCTCTAAAACCTCACGGCAAATATTGCCCAACCAGAAGCCGGGAAGCTGGTCATGACGAAAGCGTAGCTGGCGTAGGTAGGTCCCTGCACACGCTCCTTGCTGAAGCTTGAGGGGGTGGGAGGGGGTGAATGTAATTATCGGGATCCACTCCCCTTGCAACTACCGCTACGAAAGCACCATAAGGTCCCCTACTGTGATACCTGCATTCTCTCCCCCACTCTCCCTGAACCTTCAAGTTCTTAGTAGGCAGTAAGTTAATCTCAGTTCTGAATGTTCCCTACAATATGTTCCCATGTTCGCTACTAAGCTTTAACCCTTTTGACCCCTAAACCCAAAACCAACCCTCTATGATACAATCCCATCAGTAAGGCTCTGCAACGGCACCGCTGACGATCGTTGCTCCTGCGGTGCAGAAGGCCCACCTTGCTTCCCGAACATCTATAGTCCCCCTGAAGTAAATAGAATAAGGCTTTGGGTACATTATAATATGATCCCCATATACCCCATATTCTATCTACTTAAGGGGGACTGTAGGCTTTAGGGTTTAGGCCTCAGGGCTTATTCAAGTTTATTCTTTAGGGTTTGGGCCTTAGGGTTTGGGGTTCAGGGTTTATGGTCTAAGGTTGAGGTCCCCCCTGCTTTGGGCTGCTCTACGGCTAATTCAGGCCGATAAGGGAACCCATGAGAACATCAGCCTGTTTGCGTTCAAGGGGCCTAAGCAGGCCTGCGTGAGAATTTTGAAGTTCAAGTGTTTAGGGGTGAGGGTTTAAAGGTTTCTGATGTAGGGATGACTTAGGATTTGGAACTTGGGGTTGAATGCCTAGTTGGCCTAGTCGGGAGAAAGAGGAATCGATCCCTGTGTAGCCCCAGAAAAAGCACCCTCAACCCTAAATCCTAACCCAATACTTACGAAAACACCGGAAGGGTCCAAATAAAACGCTTGGCTTACGCACAACCAAAATTGAAAAGTCATGCTTTGGCAGAATAAGCCACTGAAAGAACCAGCTCAACATTGTGCTTTGGCAGGAATTGTTCGAGCATGAGAGAGGGATGATCACCTGGGCTACGCCGTTTAGAGGGTGTAAGTTCTTCGCGCGCGTGTTGTTGCTGGGGCACTTGGGGGTTAGGACTGTCAGGTTAAGGGCCAAGAGTTTCGAGGCTCCGGAGTGAAAAAAAGTACATGCTAGTCTAGTACCTCTTGGTTTGAGGGAGTTCCTTCAAAGTGGCGGGATGGTGCGTTGGGTGAAACTCGCACGTTGGTTCCCCACTGTGGCCGCTGCTTGGTTTTGCTTTGTCCTCGTTTCACTTGCGTGCTGTCCCCTCCCTTCCCTTTCTTCCTATGTGTTTGGCCAGGTACTCCCCTGGTGCCTCGCATTTGAGTGGCCTTCCCCTGTGTCAGGTCGTGTTGCTTTTTGCCGCTTGTTTGCTCTTTGCGCCCCTTATGTTCGCACTTCTTTCCTAGCTGCTCCCGCTGGAGTCCCTGGTCACTTGTCCATCTTTTTCGTGCGGGACCCTCTCTGCACGATTTTCCTGCGATGCACCCTTACCCGTGCTTTGCGCAGCTTCCCTTCCCATGATGTTCTTATATTACCCTAAGCAACCGAAATGGGTCGGATGTTGCACCCCAGCTGGCACAACAAACATGAGATACTGCTGCCAGCTATGATAGCTCCCCCACAGAGGACCTAACCACCAAGAGAAAGAGCGTCGCAAAAATGATGACCCCAAATTATTTGTCCTCATAGAAAAGATCACAGAAGTCTGGCAACAGCAACTTGCAGACAGCTTCCTAGAATTCTGGGCGAAGAAGCAGAACCTTTGCACGTACCCACAGTAGAAGCTTCAACATTCATGCAGCCCCCAACGATTTAGAACTTGATTCCAGGAGGCCACTGAAACGCGCTCCTGGCTCAACCCTAAACTTCAGACCTGCAACCCCAAACCAAAATGGACCCAAACAAACTCTACACCGTAACCCTAAAACTTTGCCCTAAACCTACGCCCCAAAGAGAAGCCCAAAGCTATGCATCCTCAACCCCAAATGAACCTAAACCTCAGAAAGAACATGCCCCAAAAGCCTAACAGACCCTATATACCGCCAGTTTCCTTTTCATTTTCCATTTTCTTGTCCACTTGATCCTCCGTTATTGGGGGTATATAACCCCAATATATTCCCTAAACCCTAAACCCTAAACTCTATGTAACCCATATATGACCCTACATAACCCTAAGTATACCCTAATGTCGCCCCCCTTTGCATCTGGTACTCCTTGCTGCCAGGCG